AAAATCTGTATTATCTGGATTTCTAAATAAACTATAATATAGAATTGAATTGATTTGTTCTGAGTAATAATAATAATAATAATAAAATATGAGAAAATAATATCTATTATATTTCTTTCAAAATTAGAATAATGAAAAAAAAACTCTTTGCACATGACGGAAGTGCAAAAGACAAAAAAAATGACTAATAAAATATAATAAATAACATAAATATATGTACTATTAACTTTTATAATCATATATTTACTTTTCATAACCAGATGTTTCAGTGGCAAGTGATAAGTATTTAGTTATCTAATATTACCATGTGATGCAAAAGCCTTTGCAATCTCCGCAAGACCATATTGCGCACTTCTAATAAACCAATCGAATGTTTTCTTTTTTTGGAAGAGCAATATACGAAGTATAAACTTTGTACCAAATATATATATATATATATTTTTTAATAACGAATATGAAAGAGCATTAAATGTCGAAAATCAAATATTCCCAAAAAAAAACAAGTTCTTACAAATTTTTTACTGAGCACGATCATTTTTATAATTTCTCTTAACTATTTTTTATATCAGAAGTGTATTTATTCTTGATTTTTCTATGAAAATGTTTCATTTTATGAACGAAATTGAATAATTTACTGTTGTCTACTCCTTGATTATTTTGCAAAACTATTTAGATTCTTTTATTGTGTGTTTTCAGCTACGTTTCTCGGACGTATTTTGAATAAATAACGAAAAAAAGGATTGGATTTATATGTAGTTTCTAGAAATTATGATTGATATTATTGCAATAAAATCTCTTGTAATATTAAAAAAAAATTTTTCATTAAGAAATCAAGATTAGAATTGTGCACGACTAGTTTTTGTCTTGGTACTAAAAAATTAAATCACCGAGACTACAGAGAAAGAAATTATCGGGATCGAATTAAGATCAGGACTAAAAAAAATTACGAAGGAACCTCTTCTGATTTCAATAATTTTGTTTTTATCTGTACATATTGTAGTGTGTTCTAATCAAAAACCCTAACAGAATTGAAATTTGACTAAGTCTATAAAAACATAGATCCTTTTCGATGGACAGTATATACAACATGCATTTTTGGAAAGTTTCATATCTCGAAGAGACTCTGTTTAAATCTTCTGCATTTTTTAAAATAGAAGTTAGTGTAGTTAAGCTCTATCTGTGAAAAGTTTTAGATCAAAACACAAATTGTCCGAAAACATGTGACCTCTAGAAAAAAAAAGTTGATAGTTTAGTCAAATCCAAATTTTTTTACAATTTTTATTAATTAAAACAATATATAGTATCTATAGGCCCAAAAAAAAATCATTGAAACCGAAAAGAAGCATTTGAAGAGGTTTCCTCGTTAGTTCCGCATATCTCTAGTCAAAAATCCATATAAAATATTCTGCTAATAAAGTTAACATATTACGTAGTTTTAAAAAAATTAAGAAATACGAATATAAAAAACTTTCTTTAGATGTATTTCCTTTTTGGCTTTAAATATTTTTTTTTTAGATTCAT